TTTCCCTGGCAGCGTACCCAGGTGACTTCAGCTGGCCCTCAGCCACGGTACAAGATGTCAAGAAGGCCAGGGCTTGTTCAGCAGAGTCGTTTTGTGTCTCTCTTTCCATCAGGGGGTCCGCTTCTCTACAGCGACGTGAAGTTTGTGTACAACTCGCAGCAGCTGAACGGCACCCAGCGAGTACTGCTGGATAACGTCATCTCGGAGGAGCAGTGCCGAGAGCTTCACAGGGTGGCCAGTGTGAGTGGGCAGTGCCCCTGGGGGGGACATGACTGCCACCCGGGCTGAGTGCCTGATGCTCTCCCCAGCATCTGGCTTGTGAGAGCTGAATGTGTGATGAGCCCCTGGAAGGCTCCGGGTTCATGCCTCACTCCTGAGCGTTGCAGCTGGTGCCAGGATGCGCATGGAGAGCAGTCAGACGCTTATCCCCGTAACACACCCATAACCGCAGCACAGGAGCTGCTGCTCCATCTTGAGCCATTCCTCTAAACATGCTGCGAGACAGAGCCCATGCAGAAATAGCTCTTTGCTGCATGTTATACATAAGCCCAAAGGATGCTCATCCACAAGCCTGGCTGAGCCTTCTCATTCATAGTCAGCTGAGCCTGGGAAGGGACTGAGGGTGCTGAACATCCCCAGCTGGGAGGTGGGTGGCTGTTTTCCAGCATCTCAGAATGGACGGTGCTCACGGAGAGCTGCAATGCCTTCCCACCCAACTCACCTGTCCCAGTGAATGTAACCCTGGGGGATTTGGGGAAGAGGGTGCCAGGTGCTTCTATTGCAGCTCCCCCTCTCCTGGGGAACCAGTTCAACCCTGCCCTGCCTTCATGTCTTTCAGGGTATCATGTTGGCTGGAGATGGTTACAGGGGCAAAACCTCCCCCCACACCCCGAACGAGAGATTTGAAGGAGCTACCGTCCTCAAAGCCCTCAAGGTACATATCCTTCCCTCTTTCTCCTCTGCCATGCCCTCCCTCCTAGCCGGGGTGCATCACTGACCCTCTCTTGCCCCTTCTTCTTGCCCAGTACGGCTACGAGGGCCGCGTCCCGCTGAAGAGTGCCCGGCTCTTCTACGACATCAGTGAGAAGGCTCGCAGGATTGTTGAGTCCTACTTCATGCTGAACTCCACGCTCTACTTCTCCTACACTCACCTGGTGTGCCGCACTGCCCTCACCGGTAAGGGCTTGGGGGGCCAGTGGTGGGGCAGGACTGGGAGGACAGGAGGGGTTCAGCCCCCCACAGGGGGGTTTTGCATGAGGGACCCAAGTCTGAGAGTAGCTCTGTTTTGCCTGATGCTTAAACCAGTGGCTGAGAGCTGGGCAAAGTCACTGTCTCCACAACAGCAAAGGGTGGGCACTGCTGTCCTGAAGATGCTTTCCTCATTTCTGGGGTGTCTCTTGTTTTTCATGTCTTCAACTCTACTCTCTTATCTCCTCCCTCTTCTCTTGCCTCCTTTCACTGTTCCCTTCTCCTTTCTAACCCCCCGCCAGCTCTCCATCTCGCTTCCCCGCAGTAAGGAACAGGCAGACCTGTGCAGATCTGAGTCCTCAGATGTTGCCTTTTCTCCCCAGCCTTTCCTTTCCTCCTCTCACCTGTGAACAACACCTGGAGTGGGGTCAGGGCAGGCTTCCCACTGTGATGGACCCCACAGAGCATGGCATTTCCATCTCATCAACCCCTTCTCCTTCCCCCTTCCTCCACATGGTCCTGCCTAGGCCAGCAGGAGAGGAGGAATGACCTGAGCCACCCCATCCACGCTGACAACTGCCTCTTGGACCCTGAGGCCAACGAATGCTGGAAGGAGCCTCCTGCCTACACCTTCCGGGATTATAGGTAGGAGGGAAGGGGGGGCTGCTGCTGGGGACCCTCCCCAAGGCTGTAAGCCCTAAAGCTGTCACATCCCAGCCATGGTAGAAGTGAGATCCAGCAGGTAGTTTCTGGTGGTAGCAAGCATTGTGGCTAAGCTTCAAGTCAGAGTTTAACTGTAATGGCTCTGTGATATTCTAGAGTCAGGAGATTCCAGCTGTGGCCCACAGGGCTGTGTCAGGTGCTTTTAGTGCAAAATGGGAGGGTGAGAGCTGGTGGGACCCAAGGGGCGTTTTGAGAATTGTTCCCTAGCCAAGGAGAGATCTGTTGGTTCTCAGTGGTGGCTCCAAAATGGGGGCAGTTTGGGTGGCCCAAACTAGACTCACAGCAGGACCTCCCCTGCCCGGCAGCTCCCTCACCCGTGTGTCAATGGAGCAATGCAGGATCTGCCCCGGAGGTGGGAGTCAGCCCCGAGCCCTCCCCTCACAGGGGTCTCCTGCTTCTTCCCCCAGTGCCCTCCTGTACATGAACGCAGATTTTGAAGGAGGCGAGTTCATTTTCACCGAGATGGATGCCAAAACTGTGACAGTAAGTCGGTGCTGTGAACCAAACGCCCTTCCTCTGCAGCCTGTGCTGGGGCTCTGGGCTTCCCCAGGCAGCCTGTGGCTCCTGCCTTGCAAAAAGCCCAGACAAAGTCCTGCTGGCAGAGGTGTGCAGACCTCGTGTACCCTGCCCAGAGGCTGTGCTGAGTGGGAAACTTGCAGATGTTGCAGGTGCCTTTCAACAGGCAACCTCCAAGCAAAACTAAATACAGAGAGAGAGCAAAACCGTTGTGCCTTTGCCTTGTTGAAGCAGGTGGGCTGCAAGGTTTTGGGAGAACTTTATTTTCAGACGTGCACTCTTACTGTCTCTCTGCTTTTTGGATGGCTGAGACTGGTCCCTGCCTGGAGGACTGCTGAGCTCCCACCCCATCTCGTGGCCAAACATGAAGCAAAGCCTCTGTGCATATGCAGTGCCTGGCTCAGAGCAGGTCACGGTGGTGGACATCAGTCCCTGAGAGGGATGAGTCTCAGGCACAAGCCCCCACGTCTGCAGTGAGGCCATTTGGGAGGCTGGGCACCCACTCCATGGTTGGACAGAGCATCTAGGCACAATACTGAAGCTCTGAAGTCCAGTACCTGTTGGAGGGTAGATTGCATCTACCTAAGACCAGTGCCAGAGGGTTGATTTGGTTGGCACTTCTGCCTCTGAGGTCCTGCAGGATACCTGTTGTGGACTCATCAGAGAGAAGACAGGCATTTCACAGACCATGCCAAGGTTAGTCTGAACATCCCTGGAGCTATGCTGTCACCCTGTTTTGCTGTAGGTGGTCACCTACAGGCTTTGCAAGGACTCCATGCCACCATCTTGTTCTGCATGATGGCTGTGCAGCAGGACCAAGTCTCATATCTCCCTGTTCGCCCCACACATTTTTACAGTCATGTCCAGAGCAGCTCACTGGGGCCTGGGGTGTTGCAGAGAGATGCCCAAATGAGACCCAAGGCTCTGGACCATGACGAGCCCAAACATGGCCAGTGGCAGCTGTGCTGCTCCTTGCCACCCTGGTGTTGCTTGTTTTCCCACAGGCCTCCATCAAGCCCAAGTGTGGGCGAATGATCAGCTTCTCGTCGGGCGGCGAGAACCCCCATGGGGTGAAGGCGGTTACCAAAGGCCAGCGGTGTGCTGTGGCTCTCTGGTTCACCTTGGACCCGCTTTACAGAGAACTGGTGAGTCCCTCCATTACGATGTGAGGGGAGCTAGGGGATACCCAGCATCCTGGAGGAACCTGGACCGTCTTCAGTCTCCAGTCCCAGCATGTGTGTTTTCCCACCACCACACTCCCTGCAGCAGCGTTCCCACCTGCTCCACCACAGGGGCATGTGCCAGTGGCCATGGGACCAAACAGTTTTCCTTGCCAGCCATGCTCCTGGGCACCCATCACCCTGGGCCCACGGGATGTGGGGCTGGGGCTGGGGTGCTGGGTGGGGTACGGGAGGGCTCTGCACAGGGCTGGTAATTTCTGACACCTAGTGGCAGCAGCCTGGTGAGCGGGGAAGTCCTCCACAGCCATCTGCAGCTCGGAGGCCAGAGATGTGCGGCTGCTGCCAGGTCCTCAAAAGCAGCTCGGCAGCCTGAAGTCCACGGGTCTGGGCACCCGGGGGCCTTGGGAGAGCTGGGCTGTGGTGCCTTTCAACAGGCAACCTCCAAGCAAAGCTAAGTACAGAGAGAGAGCAAAACCCTTGTGCCTTTGCCTTGTTGAAGCAGGTGGGCTGCAAGGTTTCGGGGAACCTTATTTTCAGACACGCACTTTACTGTCTCTCTGCTTTTTGGCACTAGCTGAAATTCCTCCGTGCTTGGTGAATGTATGGTGGGAGATCAGCCCTGCCCAGGGAGCTGGAAATCCACGTCAAGTGGAGGGGACAGGAGGGGGGCAGTGGCTGCTAGTGAAGTGTGATAAGTGAACAGCAATACGTCTGCTCTGCCCCAACCATTGCAGGCCCTGGAGGGAGGAGGGAACTAGGTATTGAGGTGCAAAGTGATTTAATTAATTTTGCCCAGTAAATTCCCAGCTGAAGTGCCCGGCTCTTCCCTGTCCTCTCAACTATGCTGCTGGTCCCTGGATGACCTCCTTGCTGTGGGTCCTCCCAGGAGGCTGAGCCACACTGAATAAGCTGGGAGCAGGCACTGGAGCTCTGCTGTTACAGCTTCTTCCCTTCCCCTCTTGCAGGAGCGAATCCAGGCAGATGAAGTGATTGCGATGTTGGACCAGGAGCATCTAGGACCCAGCGAAATGAACATCAACCCAAAGGATGAGCTATGAACTAGGCCAAAGACTTTTTCTATTAAATATTTATTTAATATTGTTAATCTTATTAGAACCCTTCTATTTTTGTACAGAGCCACTGTATAAATTAACATATTAGGTTAATATGATTGTGGAGTTTCAGGAGTGCCTCTTCTGTGTTTAGTGCAGTTCTTGCTGGGACCCCTCATCTCTGTGCCAGCATCTTCTGCTGTGACTGACTCTGCCTCTGGGATTCCCTGTCCTTCCCTAGCACTTCTCAGGACTTATTCAGGCCCACTGCACCCCCTTGGAGAACACCTTTTTTTCTTCCTCAGCCAGAAATAGCTGCTTCTCTTTAGCCTCAGCTAGAGAAATGTCTCAAGTGTGATAACAGACCAGTCTTCCTGCCCCTGCTAAGTGCTGGCTGAAGACCCAGGCAGTGCTGCCCTGGGGGAAATGGGAGCACAAGTTTTTTTTCCCCATCTTGGAACCCTTTACCATTTGAAATATGCTTTTTACGGAAAAAACCAAAACAAAACCCAGGTTCTAGCAAAATGCATATCTCTGTAGCCATGCAAAGCTGGTGTTTGGGCATTAATTCTGAGCAGAGCTTCCAGAAATCACCTGCTGAGCAGGGGCATGAGCTGTGCACAGGCAAGAAGGGGTTTGATTTGCAGCTGACTCCAGTGAAACAGGTTCTGGCACTCATGTTCAGTCTCTTGCTGCTCTTGATAATGGCCTGGGATGCATGAAAGAAATTTGCTTCACACCACATGCTTTGAGCTTCCAGCCCAGTGCTGCTGCTGGTAAAACCCAAGGTTAGAGGTCATCATTTACAGGTCCATGCTGGAAAGCAGCTGAAAGGCTTAGAGGTGTTACAGGGCCGTGGTGTTGGGTGATCATGGTGCAGCTTTGGAGGACCTGGCTGCGTCCTCCCATCCTTGACAGTGCAGGAGCAGCAGATGTTCGTGGTGTGGTAGTATCTATTATTTCCTCAGAGTATTTCTGTCCCAGTGTGAGGGTGTTGCAGTGAAAGCACATGCTGCTTATCACAAGAGATTTACTATGCCATTAACTGCTGCTAAGCTAGAAAATAATCCCTCTCCCACCATTAAATTAAGTCAAGTCCTGTGTGTGGGATCAGAGCAGCCCCTACCTCAGTCAGGACCAACACTGAAGTCACAGAACTGCCCATGTCCCAGACATAGGGACAGCTTTTACTTTGACCCAACAGCTGCTTCTGCTGCTAGAAAGCAGTTCCTAAAAGGTAGGTTGCAGCAATCTTTACTGTTGAATTTACTGCAAGGCTGCTGTCTCTCCAGAAAGCACTGCAGGGATTTTGGCTGGAGTTTACATCCCTGAGCAGCTTTGCTCAGCTCCCTGCTGCATTGGCACTTTCTCAGTCCCTTTCTGCTCCCCTCTGCCAGCTTTGGCATTTCCAAATGCAATAGGGAATTGTCTGTTCTCTATCCGTGCACCTTGTGCCTATCCAAATCTACCAGGATCAGCAGTACCCTCTACTCATCCAGTCACTGGCTGCAAAGCCCATAGACAAAGATGGTCCTTCTGTTAGAGACCTCCTCAAAAGCCGCTCCTGGGCAAGATAAAGGGGAAGTCAGTGCATCTGGAAAAACAAATGCCCCGACTGTGAAGGGGACACCATAACTGCCTAGAAGATGATGGAAGGGTCACTTGCTGCACCTCCTCCATCGTGGAATCTGCAGGGGAGAAAGCTCTGAGTGTTCCTGAGCCACTGCTGTAGCTTGTTTCTTGGAGGTTATCATCTCCCTTCCTCACAGACTGTTGAAAAGTTTCATTGCATCCGAGGCTTGGCTCCTACTCGCTGCACCTTCAGCGTGCGTTTGCGCTGCCACCCCCCCGACAACCACATCTGCCCGAGCGCTGCAGAGCTGCCCCCCCCGCAGCTCGCTGCAGCCCCTGCCCTCCGGGGGCTGCAGGGATCCCCCCAGCTGGTCCTGCTGTGGGGAGGCGGCGGGGGACACGCGTCGCAGGTCGCGGTTTGTTTGCTGCTGTGGTGGTTAGCCAGAGCTGTGTCTAAATACAGGGGAAATAAATAAACTAAACACAACATCTGGGCCTGTCTTTGTCTTTCTTTCGACAAATATTAGCAGGGGAGACTGGGGGTATGTGGTTTCTCTCACGACAGTGTGTCTCCCTTTGGGCTTTCCTGCCCCAGTCCCTAGAGCACATGCACACATCCCCCGTGCTGGAGGAGCAGGAGAGACACTGGTGTGGACTGGATTCAGCAAAGAAGTTGTGTGTGTGCATTTGCCTGCCTGCACATCTCCTTTGCTCTGCATCCAGCCGCCTAATAATTTACGTACCATTGGCACACTTCAGGCCATTTGGAGAGCAGGAGGAGGGTGTCGCAGTCCCTGTGCAGTGCTGGGGTGTGCAGCAGGCTGGGGAGTGAAGCAGGGAGCTGGCTCCTGGTGAAACAACAGCTTTGGTGGAGAATGGTGGAGCAGCCTCAGAAGGATGCAACATTTGTGGACCTAGTTGCAAGCACGAACCCCAAATCTCCAAGAAGGGGAAAGACTCTGGGCTGCCTGGGCCGTGCTGCTGATCACGGTGCTCTGCTGCCGAGACCTGCCTGTGGTCCGTGCCAGGCTGC